GTTTAACATTTAAACCTATTTTCTGCACATTCCAGCACATAAAATAAAATATTTTTGTGTTTACACTCAGTCTTTCAAATAGATGCAAGTAAAACACAGCAGAAAATAAATAAAGTCAAAGACTAGCGTCTGTACTGTGTTCGTTTTGTTCCTTGTGGTTGTGTCCTCCTTTTCCTTGCTGCATTGAAGGCTTGATTTTCCTTGTCTTGTTACCCATTATATTTTTTTTTACTTTGTTTTAGTTTAAAGAAAACCACCTTTAAGTTTTTTTCCCTCGGGTTTCTGAGTCCTGCACGTTACTCAGACTATTTCAACTGCTTGACAGTTTTTCCCAACAGAAATACAAACATACAAAGTTATTTTAAAACATTTAATACAACATCAGTTCAGTTTCAGTTTTATTTGACCTATTTTATTTATTTTATTTAACATACAGTGTTCTGTTAAATCTGATATATTAGGCATGTTTTTATATTGTAATTTCAATTCTGTTGTCACAGATAAAAATAAAATTTCTTCTGTTTCAGGATCAGCATGGAGGATCCAAGTGATTCACATCCAGAAGAAATTCCTGGAGTTAGAGAAAACCTGGAAAACAACGACGTGGCTGCAGCAGCTGCAAGGATTCACGAATATTTAGAAAGAGAAAATAATATTCCACTAAATATCGCCATCACAGGGGTAGCTGGTTCTGGTAAATCCACCTTTGTTAACGCCTTCAGAGGGCTGTCCAATGATGATGAGGGAGCTGCTCCTACTGGTGTTCGAGAAACCACCTCAGAGGTCACACCGTACCCCCATCCAAACAATCCCAATGTTATGTTATGGGATCTTCCTGGGATCGGCACCACCAAGTTTCCAGCTAAGAAGTACCTGAAGCTTGTTGGATTTGAGAAGTTTGACTTCTTCATCATCATCTCAGCCACTCGCTTCACAGAAAATGACGTGAAACTTGCTCAGGAGATTCAGAAGATGAAGAAAAAGTTCTACTTTGTTCGCTCAAAGATCGACAACGATATACAAGCTGAGAGAAGAAGGAGAGACTTCAATGAAGAGGAGACTCTGACAGAGATCAGAGACGACTGTGTTCACAGTGAGTTTCTGATCACTTACAGCTCAGTGAGATCACTTCATGGAGTCACTTTTTAAATATATTGAGAACATATGTTTTTAAATCATTTGTTATTTTTTAATAAATGTGACTGTATTCTTTATGTGAAACAGGACTCAGAGGATTAGGCATCAAGTCTCCGCAGGTCTTCCTGGTGTCCAGCTTTGAGCTCCACCTGTATGACTTCAATCTCTTGCAGCAGAACTTAGACAGAGACCTTCCTAAAAACAAGAGGGACACTCTGCTGTTTGTCATGCCCAACATCAACCCAGAGATCATCATCAAGAAGAAAAAAGCTTTTCAGTCCAAAATAAAATATTACGCTCTTGGATCTGCAGCTGGAGCAGCTGTTCCACTTCCTGGTCTTTCTATTGCTGTTGACCTTGCTTTGCTGGTTGGTGCTGTCACACATTATGTTTTTGCGTTTGGTCTCGATGTCCCGTCTCTGAAGAGACTTTCTGCCAAAACAGGTGTGCCCTACACTGCTCTGCGTGCTGTCATCATTTCACCACTGGCTGCAGCAGAAATAACTAAAGAGCTCCTCTTTAAGGTCATGACCCACGTTAGTTCTTTCGCTACATTAATTGTAGCAGAGGAAGCATCCAGATTCATTCCGTTTATTGGAATCCCAGCAGCAATGGTTCTCTCTTTCACCACAACCTACAAATTCCTGAATGTTATCCTCAGTGAGCTCGCTGAAGATGCTGAGAAGGTGTTTGAAAAGGCTCTGGGTCAGTAAAACTCAAATGAAGCTTAGTGACACCTTGAAAACATATACCGTGTGCAAATTCTCCAAAATAACTGAATATGGACTAAATCGAAGCACCAGTTTAGCTCACAGGTTCAACAGGTGACCACATGTGTGGCTAAATGCAGTCCTGGATTTGACCTCTGTCCCTGCTGTGTGTCTGCTCCACACTCTCGCTCTCACTGCAATATTTAACAAAGGCAAAACAATATATATGTACTGAGTCACAGTCAGCTGCACATTTATCTTTCACAGTGATCAGAATAAATTTGATTTGTTTTACAAAAACCTGTTTATAACGTAGAGGAGCTGCTGAATCATTGCTGTGATGCTTTTTCAGATTTTGGTGTGTAATCAGCTGATATGATGGCTGCTGTTTATCTGTTTATCTGAACTTCTATTTTATTTGATTTATTAAAATGATACAACTGTTTTTGTGTTCACTGCCCTCCAGTGGTCAGCATCATAAACTACAACACAACTGATATAAACTGTTTATAACCATCAGCCAATGCATTTTACAGACACTCTAGTAAAAGGTGCATGATCATGGAACACTGATATCATGAGAGGCTGATCATTGAGGAAGATCAGGTTATCAATTGGCAGGTAAACAGCATTTGGTTCTGACTGCAGATCTTATATTAACATTTAGTTGTGATTCTGTGCGCAAAATATAGCTCACTAAAAAAAGCCAATAACAGAGGAATCCGTTACAGGATTCTAATCTGATCTCCAACATCAGGAACTCTGTACAAAATATGTTTTTCTGCTTCTGTGGTGGATTTTTGGATGACTTGTATGTCTATGTAACTATATACCCTATATATCTACCTTAGTAGTAATATACCTGTACTTTTTTTGCCCCCCCCCCTTCCTCTTTCCCCCCTCCCCTATCCCCCTCCGCGTTCATGTGCGTGTGCGCGTGCGCGTGAACGGACTTTTTGTACGTGCATGTGGGTTCAGGGGTCATATGAGTTTACATGTGTTTAATAGCGTTTTATTTAATGAAACCATTATGTGTTTTAATTAAACTCTTTTTAAAGGACTGTATAGGTCTCAGAGCTCTGTTATTTAGACATAGATGATTTAATTTAACTAGTTAGGAGCATTTTGCTTTTTCTTTAGTGCTATTTCGGAGCAAAAAGTTTCAAACAGAGTCCCGCAAATAACAGGTACCCCTTTAGAAATAAACTGTGATACTTCTAAAAGCACATATTCACACTTAGCCACACTAGCACTGTATCAACCCCAATGTGCCTTTAATGCAACTAGTCCTATAATTATCTACTAGTCAAACACTCTGCAACAGTTAGACTCGATGATTACACATAGATGATTTAACTACTTTAGGGGCATTTTACTTTTTTCTTTAGCACTCCGAAAAGACACAGAGGCTAATAGTTTTAAATAGAGCACCACAAACAACATGTATTCTTTTAGAAATAAACTGTGATACTTCTAAAAAGCACAAGTAACAGTTAGACAGAGGGGGTTGCAGTTAGGCCCCCATCAGTCAGCGAGCTCTGTTATTTAGACATAGATGATTTAATTTAATCAGTTTAGGGGTATTTTAACTAGTTAGGAGCATTTTGCTTTTTCTTTAGTGCTATTTAGGAGCAAATACTTTTCAAACACAGTGCCACAAATAACAGGTACCCCTTTAGAAATAAACAGTGATACTTCTAAAAACCGTGTATTCCCACACAGCATTTAATTTAGCTAGTTTAGGAAGATTTCACTTTTCTAATAGTTTCACAGGCTAATAGTTTTTAAACAGAATACCACAAACAACAGGTATCCCTTTAGAAATAAACTTTTCTTGTGATACTTCTAAAAGCACATATTCACACCTAGTCACACTCTGTAACAGTTAGACAGAGGGGGTTACAGTTAGGCCCCCAACAGTCAGCAAAAGAAGTCATGAAACAATAAAAGAGGCTCCCTTATCAAGAGCATCCCAGCACACATCCCAACTGTAGTTCCATAGTTTCCACATTTTTTTAAATTACAAACAGTTCCATTATCTTATCTTATCATGTCAGAGGACAACTGAAACCTGAACCTCCAAAGGTTTTTCACATTTTCTTACACCCCACACCTTTATCTCTACAGGCAGACAATTACACCTCCTACTGACTAACCGAACCACCATAGTTTTTCCACCTTTCTCTTTACAACCTGCTCTTTATATCTGCATCTCAGAGCCCAACTGAAACCAAGTCCACCTATATAAAAACACCCCATCAGACACACAGTATTTTCCTCAGCCTAGCTGCAGCAACATCTTTCTTTCACACGGATTCCTGGATGTGCATTGAGCCGACTTTGCTACCCGCACAGAGCGTTTCTGACAGTTGGGCGCTGCTTACGCAATAGAGAAAAGCAACAATACAGTTTGTTTCTCTGCTCCAAGAAATCCGAGGGCCTTTCACAAGGTAAGCATGTCTGTTATACCCAGAGCATAAATGTCTGTCTGTATGTCAGTGCTGATTATTCAAACCCTGTTTAAAATGTGACACATATGTTGTCCGAAAACAATTCTTCTAAATTTGCAAAGTTACTGATTTAAAAAAATATATATTTTCGAATTTTTAGTTGCATGACAAACATATGATAGCTAAATTCACAATGGTATAACCATGCTAAATAAAAGAGGCCCAAGCACCAAAGCACTCCAATGCAAACCTCTAAACTGTATGTTGATAAGTACATGAAGTGTATCTCTACAGCTGAAAACAGTTTGTATTTGCACTCTGAGGGTCTGCTGAATTGTTTTTTAATACGACGCTTTTTGACGAAGTGCAGATGATGAAATCCTCTTTATTGTGGAAACTGTCCCTAAGCTATTGTTGCTCATACTTACTGAGTTCCCAAGATACTTCTTTACTATGTCAGTAAATCTTTTGAAAAGGAAACTTTTGTAGATTTAAAAAAACATCTTAATTGAAGCAAAGGCTGAGATGAGTCCACTGTCAGAGGCCAT